AATAATAATAATAAATAAATAAATAAATAATTTTTATTTTTGGAATTTTTTTATCATTTAAATCCAACTTTTTACATACGTATGGGTTTGTTATTATGCATTTCCGGAAAATGTAATTTAGTTTTGATTTTCTTTAAAAAAATTTTTTTTTGTCGAATTTTCCCATTGCAAGGTTAAGGAAAAACTATCGTTAAAATGAATTTCGCGTTAAAATGATTTCCTGTCGTTTGATAGTAAAAAAAAAAAAAAATTTTACGCTGCTGTAAAATACGATTTCGAATACTATTTACCCTCAAATAATAATAATAATAATAAGTATAACGAGTATTAAATATCAATGATTAGTATAAATTTATATATAAATAAATAATGACGTAGTTAACGAACATAAAAAATTAATAATAATTTTTTTTTTTTTATACTTTTGCAATCGATAATAATGAAAATTAAAAATGGCTTCATTTTTTTTTTTTTTTTTGTTCATTGGAAAGAGTTGAAAATAAAAAAAAAACGTGAGCACGCCATTAAGATAAGAAATAAGCATAAAACATTATGTATATTATGAATGTTTTTTAAATTTAGGAAATCATAGCTAACCACCGCCACCACCACTACCACCGCAGGTCCAGTAAATTAAATTCTGTCGTACAAGGTACGAATCGTTACGATTCCCTTCCTTCCTTCCTTCTGTTTGTTGCCCCGGGAAAAAAGGACTCCCTTAAATTTCTCCGAGTAGGGGAAAAAAAAAAAAAAGTCCCTCCCTTCTTACATTACTGCAGCCCCAATCATGTAAAACAAAAAAAAGATTTTGCCTTTTTTTTTTTTTCCTCTCTTTTCATTTCGTTAAAAAAAATTATACGATTGCGGGTAAATTTTTGTTTTAAATAAATAAAAAAAAAAAATTCGTTTTTGTTAATTTAAAAAATTTTTTTCGAGCGAAAATATTAATTTAATTTTTAAAAAAAAATGATTTGACCAATAATTATAATGGAGTATGCATGGACATTAACAAATGAAGAAAATGGAGATGAAGAGAGTAGAGGTGAACCCAGGTTGAGGTCAAATCAAGGTAATACAATTAAATTTTCATTTTTTTTTTTTTATCGGTATTAATACCTTAAAAAGAAAAAATTTCGTGGTTGTTATTGCAAAACAACAAACAAAACAAATAATTTACTACCCTTGCAAATTTAATTAATTAACCAATATTTACGTCATTATTGATTTTTTAAATTATTTATTTATTTATTTAGAAGCCATCCATAAATTTTATTAATTCAAAAAAAAAAGCAGAAAAAAAAGAAAAAAATTTTTACGGTTTTTGTTTGATCGATACCTTGAGTTGTTGTTAAAATATTTAAAATCTCGACATGCATATCCTACACGTATTTATTTTTTTTAAAATTTATTATCGCGCCCGTCCCCTCCCCCTCCCCCCTAGCCCCCCATTTGAAATTTAGCTTGCATTTTCCAAACGTACGCATCGAAATATCCCGTAAATCATATTAAAAATAATTTTTTTATAAAATAAAAATTCAAACGAGAAAATTTTAAATAAATATTTGAAAGTGACTTGTATGTAAAAATAAAAATAATAATAATAATAATAATAATAATAATAATAATAATAATAATAATAATAATAATAATAATGAAATTTATAGGAAGAAATGATTTTGTTGGCGGCATAGATAATGAAGCCTTGGATTTTAGTCAATTAGAAGATTTTATAAATGGAGAAAGTGAAAACGGTCATACGTAAGTTAAACACGGCGACAAATTTTTTTTTTTTTTTTTTTAAATAAATAATAATAATAATGATTAAGTCTTACCTTTTTTTTCACGATCGGTTTGTCAGGTATTTTGTCGATACATTAAATCATAATGAATCGACTCGATCACATCATCAGGGAGAAGCGACCGTTTTGGTTGTACAAACACATTCCGGTGATGATTTACGACAGCATCAAGAGACGCAATTTGCATTACCCAGTGCTGGTGTTATAACAAGTGCTGGACCATTTACATCGTCGTGAGTTGACTCCTTCCTTGGCCCCCCTATAAAAAAAAAAAATTATGTTAATAAATAAATAAATAAATCAAAAAAAAAATTTTTTTTCAGACATAATTTACCTGAAAGTCCTCCGGATTCTGGTTCCGAACAACCATATTCTCCTCAACAACAAGATGGACAAGACAAAACTTCATCATCTCGTAAATAATTTTCTTATTATTTATATTAATTATAAATAAAAAGAATTATTATTATTATTGTTTTATTAGTTTCAGATGGTAAAAATACGTCGAATTCGATAGTAAATTCTCAAGACATTTTAATTAATTCATCTCATCATTCATCTTCTTCTTCTTCTTCATTGTTTCCTTCACAAGTTTCTTTAAAACCTTCTCTCGTTCATCCAGTTCAACCATCACGTGTACATTGTGAACCCATGTTGATACAACATTCCATTTTGACTCCATTACTGACGACGAGTTCGACTTTATTAAATTCTAATCATAACACGAGACCCGATTCGCTTCTTTTAAACAGAGATGTTTCAAATCAGAACATATTGAATCCTAACAGAGATTCCCTTTTACTCGCGAGAAACGAAACCGCCATTTTATTAAATTCCGATTCGCAATTGCTTAATGGCTCCGATAGAATGATTAACGGTCAAATATCGTCCAAAAATACAGGATTGAGTAGTACAGGTTCGCTTCTTTCATCCGGTATCGGTGTTTTAAATTCTAATATCGGTAATTCCGTTTTATTAAGTCAACCGACTCAACCTTCTTCACCAACCCTAACAACACCTCCGAGTAACGTAAGACCCACCGGATCGTTAAATCAGAATACAGGTATTTAAATTTACAAACGTAATCCAATTTATTCCGATAAAAGAAATT